GAGCTCGTTAAGGAGCTCGTTAACTCAAATTACTCTATCAACTCAATGCAAAAAATCGGCTGGAGAGACAGCTGGTATCTCAAAAAACTCGTTAGTCGGGACACTCGTAAGTCAAGGCCCCACTGTAAAGGTAAGGAATAGAGGAGCTCAGACTTCCAGTCAAGATGGTGAAGTGGGTAAAAGCTGTGTTTACCTCCTCCCATGGACGCATACAAATTGCAACTAAATTGTAGAAAAACCATCATTCAGAATTACCTAAAGACTACCCAAAGAGAAGTCGCATAACTAAAGACACAAAGAAGCGACACCAAGACAGGGGGATTTGTGAAACATGTTGGTCCCACACCCACGGTGTGGTGATTAAGAATTGGGAGGGATATCTCGGCTACACGGGTCCCCTCCTAAGGAGTGAGGGCTCCCAGCCCCACACTTGGCTCCCAAGCCCAAGACTCCAGTGCTGGGAAGAAGAGTCCCCTTAACATCTGGAATTACCAGCAGGGATTACATCTGAGTGAGACAGAGGGCTGCTGGAGACCTAGGAGCCCTCTTAAAGGACCCCTTAAAGGTCCTGAGCATAGACTCACTCACTCACAAACTCACTCACTCTAAGCTCCAGCCAGGGGCATCAGCCTGAAAAGTGCCAGCAACATACAGGGAGGAATTAAATTGACTTGCTCCTGGGCTAGGACAGGAGGGCAGGGCAGCTCTTGTTTTTCTGGATTTTTACTCTGCTCTTTCACTTGGGACATGTTTGGCTGGCAGGTGCAATTGTTCCTTTGTTGACCCCTCCTCCCACTCAGCTGGCACAGTGCAGGCAGGCACCAAATCTGTGCTGTCCATTAACCTGGCTAACACCCTTTACCCTGCCTGGCGATTCCCTGAGACCCTGCCACAGCCAATTAATGTGCCCAGCCCAAACCTCTTCTGGTGGCTTTTCTACATAAGAAACCTGCCTAGGTTCATGTTGTGCACTTTCCTAAAATTTCTCAACAGTCCACAAAACTTGAACAAGCAGCAGCTGGCCTTAGCATTCTCTGTACTTCTTGCTAGTGGCTCTAAACCCAGCACAAGAAGTAACCAGTCTCAACTTGCATTGTAACACCCATCAGGTGGCCCTACACCTGGCATAAGTGGTTGCCAGTCTTGGCTTGGAATGTTTCTTCAAGTAAGCAGCAATAAGCCTGAAACAGTGGCAGCTCCTCTCAGCTCATGTGGTGGTGCCCACCAAAGGGTCCCAAGCTTGGCACAGTGGCAGCTAGCCTCAGTTCAAATCACAGCCTCTCCCAAATGCCTCTAAGCCCAGCCCAGTAGCTACCAACAGTAGATCATTTAGTAGTTCCTACCAGTTGTCACTGGGCTGAACACAAGTGGCAACTGATCTTGATCTGCACCAGAGCATCACCCAAACAGCTTCACAAATGATACCCCTGGAAGGTGAACTTCGTTGGCACCAGAGCCCAGCTAAAGTGACTCCTGCAATGTGGGGTCATTCCCATTCCCTGCACAACACATCTCTGCTGTAGTCAGGTCTCACAGCCAGTCAGCCTGAAGATCAATCCCACATACTGAGATGCCAAAAATAATCAAGTACAGACTACAACAGGAGGGCACACACAACCCACATAAGTGACACCTCTGGAATACCCAGCTCAGGTGAACAGGGAGACTATGTAACCAGGTC